GAACATAATTTAAAGAATCTAAAAAAGACAAAAAATGGAACTTAAGACGAAAAGAAAATGAAAGCAAATGTAAAATTTCTTTCACTAAAATTTAGAAACAATTTTTTTTATATTTTACTTTTTAGGACATAATTTACAGAATCTTAGAAAAAGGACAGAAAATGAAACTTAATACGAAAAGAAAATGGAAGCAAATGTAAAATTTCATTCATTAAAATTTGAAAACAAATTTGTTTACATTTTACTTTTTAGAACATAATTTAGAGAATCTAAAAAAAAGACATAAAATGGAACATAAGACAAGGAAAATCGAAGAAAATGTAACATTTCATTCATTAAAATTATTGCATGCAATAAAAAATAATTGCGAGTCAAAAAACTATTGGTCGTCTGCTTTTAGTTGTTCATTTGGAAAATGAAACTGGTCAATAGTAAAAAAGATCAAAAATTTGTTTTAAGTTAAATATCATATGATGTTTGGGAAAGTTGCTAAAAATGATCCCAAAATTGATTTGAAATACAAAGATAACCCACATATCTGATGTTTAGAAAACATAACCCAAAGAGGTAGTGAAATTACAACTACATCCTTTATGACCAAACAAACAAACGGAGGCCATAATGACTGTTTTAACCCTAGAGAAGTCTGCTACGTAATATAGAAGTCTACCTGAAGACTTACGCCAGAAATCCAACAGGTATTGTAAAGTCTGAAAGCATCAGCCGGGGATCTACCTCAGTCGGGGTTCTACCATCATTGGTGCAGAGTATACAAGCACACTTTGATAAGCAGTTTAAGGTCTTGTTAGATAAGGTTGATGATGGTTTTAGTCGCTGTGAAAAGAAGTTGAAAGTCCTTGATGATAAGGTCGACTCTATAAAGCAACCCATGGAGGCTGTGAAAGAGGGAAAGGAAGAGGCTGAGCAAACAAAATCCAACCTACCTACACCAGCTGCTCATGTGGAGGAGACTGCTACAGATCCTGATGATGGGAACAAGGCTGTCACCGATGTTGGGGTTAGTACCCAATCTAAACGCCCAATTCGAAAGAGTAAAAGAAATCGTAGAGCATCGAAAAAGAATGAGTCTCAAACCTGCTTAATTTGTTTCATGTTTCCACGATTGATGTTATGTTAAATTTGACCTTTTTACATTTCTTGTTTGAACAATTCTGTTTGGATTATGTTATTCCGTACGTTTTGTATAATATGTTTTATTTTCATTTGGTATATGATTCGACTTTGCTACTCTACATGTAGAGTAAATTTATGAACAAGGAAACACTTAAAGAAAATGGTCAGAGTGCGAGTGTCAATGGTGCACATCCGAGTGTTATGGTGGTCGAGAATAAAAAACAACCAGTGAATTATGTTGCGCTTGAGAAAGCTAAACAAGAGGAGAAGAGGAAGGCAGCTATTACACGAGCAAAGAGTGAGAGGCTTAAGAAGTCGGCCCCGACACAGAAGTCACCATTCTTTGGGAACAGAACCGCTAAGTGCACCGTAGGAAAAGGATATGATCCTTTTGCTCCCGTTGCTTAGCCACGGTTGATGTCTCTACAAAAGTGGCTGGAAGAAGACCCGTAAGTAAAACAAAACTTGACTCGTTGTTTAAGCGTGTTGGTGACTAAATTTTCATTGCTAAACATGGATTATTACAAACCTCTTCTGCCGTTCACTTCTCTAGAGTGGTTTTGAATTCTAAGAGAGCCGAAACAATGGCTAAAAGACACGGTAAGCCATGAATCTTTATGGTAGACTTCTCTGATAGACTTATATGGTAGACTTCTCTAGTAGACTTCTATGGTAGACTTCTCTTGTAGACCTCTCTTGTAGATTTCTCTTGTAGACTTCTCTGACAGAGTTCTCTTGTAGACTTTTCCACCAGCCGTTGATTATGTTCTTGATGACTGACATTGATTCTTTTGGTTGTTTTGTTGCAGCACATGGATGCTGCGTTGAATATGCTGAGGAAACGGTACAAGGCTCATCCAGAGTGGTTGAGGAGTGACAAAATTTGCATCCTCGACACTACTCTTGGCAACATATGGAATATGAGGTACCATGACTTTGTTGACTTTCCTGCCAATGAAGACGGGACTGGAAGAAAGCTACCAGGTGGGTCATGGGATTACTATACAGGTCAAATGCCCGAGTATGAAAAACTAGAGAAGACGTAGGGGACTGAAATGGAGGACATATATTCTCCATTAAATGTTAAAAAGGATCATTGGGTGGCTTTGTGGATTTCACTCCCAAAGAGATACATTGTCATTTGGGACTCTATACTTACCTATGCATCTGCTGCGGATATCAAAGAGAAGGTCGAGCCTATTGCCGTGATGTTACCTTATCTAAATTACATTTCATGTGCAACAGAAGACAGATACAAGTAACCATTAACCCAATTCACGCATGAGAGGCTGCCAGCAGCGAAAGTACCACAAAACAAGCAAAGTGGGGATTATGGAGTGTATACACTGAAGTACATTGTAATGCCACGCTCTCGGCTATCCATTTAGTTCTGCTGCCTTGTGTGATGCGAAAATCAAGCGTATTAGGGACAAGCTTGCGACTGAGTATTCGAGGAGACTGAATTCCAAAGGACAAACCCGTCAACGTATAAAGACGTGAACCTTTATGACTAATATTGTTCCAACCCTTTATATGCTTTTGAATTTCCCGCGTAACTTTTAGGAATTTTGCATATATATTGTAGATGTAAGAAAAACTCATATCCTTTATTTTTTGCTACTATGGCGGGATGTGACTTGGATAAACTTTGATTTTTGTTTGGGATTTTTATATTCCATTGCTAAGCTACTAATAAGTTATAAACTATTACCCTATTTGTTGTTCTAGAGTTCAGGAGAAGACTTGTATTTATAGCTATAGATTTCTCTTGTAGACTTCTCTTGTAGACTTATATGGTAGACTTCTCTTGTAGACTTCTCTTTGTACGATATTCACGGCTTTGTACATATACTAATGTAAGATGACCACAAATTTAAATATTAAAAACATAACCTTATAGCACCATGTTCGACAAAGACAACAAATTTAAAGTCTACAAACGCAAATCATCTTAAKATRTAAAAAACATAACCTTAGSASACKWTCTTCTCTCGGAGAGATTAGATTAAGTACCACAATTTGACAAACCATACCAAATATTAAAAATGACATGAAACAATAAACAGGAAGAGTAGATTAAGTACCACAATTCGGCTTCGTATGGCCCGGTTGGTTGCATTTTGAACAATTGTATTGAGCATGAATCATCCGTGGTTTAGTACCTTTCATCCTTGCGATTTCTAGCCAAGTTTGCCACCTTGATTTCTTCTTCCGACCTGGATGCGTCTTCACGAAAGGAGGCAGACATGGAGTTCATTCTATACCTTCACCTACTGAATTTTTCGGAAAAATGCTTTGCGCATACGCCCAATACAAATAATCCCTCCCATATATCGGGCAAACACTAGTAGCGACATCTTGTTTACTCTCTATCAAAGTGGCAATAGCATGCGAGCAAGGTATCTTCTCGATGAAGAAGACACCACATTTACATTTGTTTTTGGCCCAAATCAACAATACAATCACGTGCTCCTCCCTTCACATGGAACTGAACATCATTAATGCGTCCCACTGTCATTCTAGATGCGTAATCATCACGAACCGCCAACAAGTATTCAACTGCCCGAGTATGGTGTGTTGTTAGACTTAGAGTATCTTCTCGCCTTTTAGAAAACCACCTTCCTAGCTTCTCACGG